CAAATCATATCTTATCTACAAGGGAGAAGCTCATGTAGCACATGTCTTTTTATTTACAAAAATTTAATTTTAAATTTTTTTTTTTTTGCACAGCAAAGGGATTTTTATTTCATGGAGTACAAGGGGTACCCCTGCCCTTAATACAAATTACATTAACTGAGAAACCCAGCAGCTTAGTTTCTTGACCCTATTGGAACCTTTCAACTGCAAGCTGAGGTTCAGAAAGGTTCAGTCACGAATTAGTACCTACAGAACTTTTCGCCCTTGAAAGGCCAGATTAATTCTTCCGTTTAGCTTTTAAGCACAACATGGGCTCCAGCATCCATTCATACATGTTAAAGGAGTATCCATTTGCTTTACCTTTGATCCAATTGAAGGCTCTAAGTTGAACAATTTCAAATATTCTGTTGACTTCATACTCAGAGTTTCTAAAAATCTTTCCATTCCTTGCCATCCATATAGACCATAAAAATGCCAACCAGACCACATCCCACCCTGCTCTCACCGATGATTCTTTAAAGAAAGATTGGTGTTGCTCGAAAGTTTCTTGGCAAGTATTAGGCGTAACCGTTGCTATCCTCCACCATTGCAAACATTTATGCCACACCGAGCAAGTAACTCTGCAATGAATAAACAGGTGATTGCTATCTTTTGTGCTTTCCCCGCACAATCCACATAGCACTTGGTTAGGATCAGTTATAATGCCCCTTCTAAATAAGTTGATTTTAGTGGGAAGTCTGTCTTGTAAGGCTTGCCAAGTGAATGCACTGACCTTTGTTGGGATTAATCTGCTCCATATCCTTTTGTGAATCCATGCTTTGTCACGCCCATTGTTGCTTGAGAGCAAGTTGTATGTTGTTTTAACTACATACACTCCCTCTTTATCATGCTTCCACTCCCACCGGTCATTCTGATCTTGTACAGGTTGTGTGTTATCCAGTAAGGCCTGGAGCTCTGTACAATTGTCCTTCTCCCATTCGAACAATGATCTTCTCCACTGTACAGACCGTTTCCATTTTCCTTCCCTCCAGTTGCCCATTTGACAGATTCTATCATCTTTCCCTGTAGACACCCGAAACAGTCTAGGAAATTGGTTGGTGAGAGATTGGTTCCCAATCCACACATCCTTTCAAAATCTTGTAGTGTTCCCTTCTCCCATTTTTAATTTGAATCCGTCACTAAGCCATCCCCTTTTATTATGAACGATGTGGTTTAATTTGCAAATGTTTCTCCACCAACTGGATCCCTTGTGACTATTCTCTTGTACCCACTCTAGCCAATGGCCGTCCACACTCCGATATTTTCCTTTTATGATCCTATATAAAGGACCTTCGTTCCCACTAGCTAACCTGCTCCACCACTTGCCCAACAAGGCAATATTGAAACTTCTCAGCTCTTTAACTCCAAGCCCACCCTCCATTTTACTTTAATTTTAAAATTTTAATTAAAAGGGAACAAAACTGTATAAATGTAGCATTAATTCAACTAAAACAGTGAAGGTACCCCTTGTTGAATTAAAAGGTACCTTTAGATATGCTAAAGTTTCAAGCCAAAAGGCACAAATGGATATGCAGCATGTTTTTTCGGACACTACAAATAGAGATTTTCAGAATACATTTACCATTCTATCTAATTAGTGATTCCCTCACATTTATAATCGAGAGAGTTTAGTTTTCAATTTTATTGTATTTGAAGGTATTTTAATGTCATAAAGATAGTGCGATCACGTCTCACAATTGGTTGTTTATTTTGTCCTTCGCTATTTTATTTTAATATTATTTGTTAATAGTAACATATTATGTTATATGTTTATTATAAAAGTAATGTCATTATAATTATAATATTTTTTAAAAATAAAAAAAACTCATAAAAATTATCAAATATTTATATATCCTACTAAAATAAATATGTACTCCTATTTGAAACGGAAGGATTTAAATATACGTAGATCTTTCCATATATTCTTCAAAAATTTAAATTTTGCTATGTATGCAGTAGTAAGGGAGGGTTCTCGGTATACCTTAAATAGTTAATATCACATTTTTTTAATATAATTATCTATTATGTCTTTATATTATATTTTTTTAAAAAATATACACTTTTTTATTTTTTAATAAATTAAAAAATATAATAATCAATTAAAATAAAAAGATGTGATATTAGTAATTGAGGACCACTAGAGTAATAAAAATATAAATTTATTTAATGAGTCTC